TTGGTCTTTTTTGAGACAGGGTCTCCCTGTAGTCTCAGCTGTCCTGGAACTGTGTGGACCAGGCTAGCCTAACTCACAGAGATCTGCCTGCCTCTGCCTCCCAAGTGCTGGGATTAAAGGTGTGCACCACCACGCCCGGCTTCCAGCACTAAACTTTTAACCTGAAAATAATAACTTTTTTTTTTTTTTTTGGTCTTTTTTGAGACAGGGTCTCCCTGTAGTCTCAGCTGTCCTGGAACTGTGTGGACCAGGCTAGCCTAACTCACAGAGATCTGCCTGCCTCTGCCTCCCAAGTGCTGGGATTAAAGGTGTGCACCACCACGCCCGGCTTCCAGCACTAAACTTTTAACCTGAAAATAAATTTTTAGATTAAAAAGGGGGGAGGGGGTTAGAGAGGTGGCTCAGTGACTAAGACCCCTTACAACTACTGCAGAGGACCCAGGTTCAGTACTCAGCACCCACATTGTGGCTAACACCATCCTTAATGCCAGTTCCAGGAGATCCAATGCCCTATTCTGACCCATGGTCACCAGGCACTCATGGATGCGCTTATACACATGCAAGGCAAAATACTCACAAAAATAACACCAAAAAAAATCTTTCAAAAGTAAAAAAGGCTGGGCTTGGTTGTGCACGCCTTTAATCCCAGCACTGGGAGGTAGAGGCAGGCAGATCCCTGTGAGTTCAAGGCCAGCCTGGTCTACATAGTGAGTTCCAGGACAGCTGGGGCTACAGGGAGACTCTGTCTCAAAAAGACCAAAAAAAAAAAAAAAAAAATGAATGGGCATATGTGTGTCTGTGTGTGGGTGTGTGCACGAGTGCAGGTGACTGCAGAAGCTACAAGAGGGCATTGGCTCTCCCGCAGCTGGAGTTACAGGTGGTTGTGGTTACCTGGAAACTGAACCTGGGTCCTCTGCAAGAGCTCTTAAACCACCCATCATTGCAGCCCTCATTGAAGTTTTTCCAAAAGTATTTTTTAAATTTTAGAATAGTTTCAGATTTACTTGAAAGCTCTCTTACATAGTTCCTGTAGTCGAACATCCTGGTTCCCCTATAGTTAACATCTTCATCAGTACAGGACATCTTCACAGCCTAGTTCTGGACATACATTAACTGAGGTCCACTGCAGAGTCATACCTCAGCTTCTTCCCAGTGGCCCAGGTCCCACAGGACATGCAGTTGTCACACCTTGCACTCCTCTTGCCTATGATGGTGTCTCAGCCCTCCCTGTTTTAGATGACCATGGCTGTTCTAAAGACAGCATGAAGCTGTAAAGGATACCCTGCATGAGATTGTCTGGTATCTTCTTAGTGTGGGCAGTGAGTTTGTGGAGGACAGCTTTAGAGGTGAGAACACTATGTTCCTGGGTCATGGTGACTCCCACCCAGAAGGCAGTCAAGGTGATGGCTCTTGGTGTCACATGAGGACAGATGAGGACCAGTAGGTAGTTGTTTCTTAGCAGCTTCTCATTTCCTTAAAATAAGGCAGCTGAGCCAGGTTTGGTGGCACAGATCTGTCATCCCAGCACACAGGACTTTTAGGATAAAAATATTTTCCATGCCAGGCATGGGGGCACATGCTTGTAATCCTGGCACTCAGTAGGTTGAGGTAGGAGGCTAGTACGCTTGAGCAGCCTGAGTAAGACACAGTCTGGAAAATAAAAAAATAAAAAAAGGCAGGCGTGGTAGTGCACACCTTTAATCCCAGGAGTTTTTCTGAGTTGGAGGCCAGTGTGGTCCACAAGCGTGGTCTACAAGCCAGCCACGGCAGAGTGGTGAGACTCTTGCTGGTTTTTTTTGTTTTTTTTTTTTAAATTTTATTTATTATTTTTATATTATGTGTATGCTTGTATTTCCTGCGTGTAGGTAAGTGCACCCATGTCATGCAGTGCCCGCAGAGATCAGAAGAAGCTGTTGGATTCCTGCGGGACTGGAGTTACTGACAGTTGTTAGCTGCCATGTGGGTGCTGAGATTTGAACCCAGGTCTTCTGCAAGAGCAACCAGTGTTCTTAACCGCTGAGCAATCTCTCCAGCCCGAGACCCTTGTCTTTAAAAAAAAATTTTTTTTGGTCTTTTTGAGATAGGGTGTCCCTGTAGCCCCTGCTGGCCTGGAACTTGCTATGTAGACCAGGGTGGCCTCAGTCTCACAGAGATCCCCCTGCCTTTGCCTGCAGAGTTCTTGGATTAAAGGTGGGTGCCACCATGCCTGGCTCAGAAAAAAAAAAATTTTTTTTTTAATTAATGTTCAGGGCCATATGAAGTGTCAGAAATCCTTTTCCCAGTTGTCAGTCACTAGCCCTCTTCCCAGATTCCAAGGGTGAGGGTCTTTATTTAGCAACCCTCACCGCCTGTCTCCTCTAGACATCTATACCTTGTTTGGTGAAGGAAATTGCAGTTGCCAGAAATAAGCAGAGGTTTTCAAAGGGAGTAGAATTCATGAGGCTGGCAGCTGGCAGATCACTTCCAGGGTTAGGACACGGAGCAATTCTTTGCCTGAGCTGCCTTCATGTTTCTCCTCTGGGAAAGTGCCTTCCTGAGGCGTACTGCTAACAGACTAGCCCTCCTGCTTCACTGGAACACAGAGACATTCTGTGAGATGGGTTTCCAACTCCAATACTCTGCTCTCCAAGGCTCTTGTCTTTGTCAGGAGGACTCACACACTGCCGTGTTTGTTTTTTCTAGCTGGCAAATGCCCTTCTGGAAAAGGAAGTGATAAACTATGAGGACATTGAGGCCCTCATTGGCCCACCGCCCCATGGACCAAAGAAAATGATTGCACCACAGAAGTGGATTGATGCTGAGAGGGAGAAGCAAGCCTCAGTGGAGGAGGAGGCTCCTGCTCCCTAGCCCCCACCTCCAGAGGAACCAGCCCTCTTGGCCCAGATAGCTGGAATTCCTCAACTGCACCTGCAGTCATGCCCGAACTTGTCAGCCAGCTGCCACTTTCCTCCCCAGCTCCATCCTCCAAGAGTTTTTCACCTGAGATTTGAACCTTACCCTCTAGCAACCTCAGTGGTTTCTGCTGAAGGACTTGTGATATCTATTTATTGATTCATAATTAGTAAATTGCAGAGACAACTGAATGTTGCATGTGTATCGCCTTTCCTGTGGGAACAGTTGTCAACACTTGTCAGGAGTGTGTATGTGAGTTGAAGCCACAGGGTTTCAGATGCTGTCTCCATGTGTGGCTATGTAGATCTGAAGGCAGTCCAGCAGTTGGACTGAACAGTTTCCTGTCTATATCCTGTGACTCCTTCAGAATGCTAATAGGATCTAGGATGAAAGGACCCTGTGAACTAACCTCCCCATCCTCATAGTGTTCACTCATCAAGGAGGTCACAGAGTTGGGAACAAGCACTGGGCCCTGGAAAGTTCAGATACTGCCACCTACCGACTGCTGTGTACATGGCAAATGGAGAGCCTCTCTTGGCTGATCCTTGTGCATAGAGTGCCTTGGCTTCTACCAACAAAAATTGTGTGTTCTCACTGACCATTCTGTGGTGGAGAATCTACATTTGACCTGCCTTGTCTTTATACCTTGAACCCTGCAGTGGCAAGAGAAAACCCTTTGCTAGGGTATCGGGACCCAGACCATGCATGGATTATAGTCCCCAGGATAAGCCACAAGCACTTGCTAGTTCACAGTTCCTGCCTGCAGTGTCTCCTTCCTTCCTGTGCGGTGGCATCTGAAACGTGGGTTAGGGTCACATCCTGTCAGAGTAGATTGTTCTCTTACTGCCCAGCACTCTGTACCTGAGGAAGCTGGTGGGTAGTAGGAAGCAACTGTAGGGGCAGTAGCATCTGGGATGGTTTGGGGGTGTTGTGAGAACACTTTGACCTTCATCTCCCTTCTAGGTGTTACAAAGATTAGCGTGTAGTTATGTCTTTTATTAACATGCATATTTTATAAGTTATGTATATGTATTTGTTTAATAATATAATAAATTTGTATTTTACATAACTGAAGGGGCCACCAAGCCTGACGACCTGAGTTCAGTTACCAGACTCCTATAGTTGTCCTCTGACCTCCACACGTCCAGACATACACAGAATAAATAAATGTAAAAAAAAAAAAAAGTTTTGATACAGGGTCTTCCTGTAGCCCCTTGGAACTCACTGTGTATACCAGGCTGGCCTGTATCTCACAGAGATCCACCTGCCTCTTCCTCCTGAGTGCTCAGATCAAAGGTGTGCACCACCACACCTGTCATAAGATCTCATTTTGTAGCTTAGGTTAACCTACAGACTTTGCTTCAGCCTCCTCAGTGCTGGGGTTATAGGTGTGTGCCACCACTCCTAGCCCTGTCTATCCTTAGGAAGCCATCAGCCGAGCACCAGGGACACTTGGCCAGCATGTAAGGCCATGGTAGTTGAAGACGAGGGGCTGAAGCGCCACATAGCCTCAGCATTCACTGGCATGAGTAGACTCTGGCTGTTACTCTAGTTATACAGGTCAACCTTTCAAGTCATTTCTGACTTGTGCTGGGATTTGTGCTGACTGTCCATCTTGTGCCCCACATCTTGAAGGTTCCAAAAGTGAGGGGTTTCAACAACAGCAAGATGGCTCCTGAGCAGCTCAGCTGCCTTGGGCCAGAGAGGAGCCAGGCTTAGGCCTGATCCTCTCTGTCTTGTGATCAGCAGAGTGAGGCCTGACCTTCCTTTGGTTGGGGGTATGACATCTGATGCCCCAGGAAGTTCCAGTTGGTCATTAAAGACAAGAAAAATACTAAATTAAAAAAAATTCCACAGCCCTTTTCAAAAACTTTGTGCTCTATAACTCATAAATGAACATTTTGATTCAGATCATGTACTTTGTTTTTCCCTGATGTGTTTCTTATATTGCTGGATTTCCAGCTTAACCTAGTCTGGTATGCATGCAGGCTTCAGGCCACACTTGGGAGATGGAGACACTAGATGGGTATTCTGTCACATCTAGTCCTTGACCAAGTTAGGCTATGGGTTTTCCTAATTCAGCAGCCCACCAAAAATAACAGTCGTTGTTTTTGTTTTGAGACAGGAGCCAGGCTATCCTTAAAATCCAGTCCTCCTGCCTCTGCCTTTGGAGTGCTGAGATTAAAGGCCTATGCCAGCATGCCTGCCTTAGATGACTGCTGTTGTTAGCATGCTTAGTTTTTGCTAACAATATTTGTTAAATCTAAGGTGCTTTGGAAGTTTTGAGGGTTTTTTTTGGAGGGGGGATTTCCATTTGTGATTTTCAAAAATATTTTTATGTGTACACGTGTATTGCCTGCATGTATGTAAGTGCACTTGTATCATGCAGTGCCCACGGAGGTCAGAAGAGGGTTTTGGATCCCCTGGAACTGGAGTTATAGACAGTTGTTAGCCACTGTGTGGGTGCTGGGGATAGGAACCTGGGTCTTCTGCAAGAGCAGTCAGTGCTGTTAACTGCTGAGCCATCTCTCCAGCCCTATTTGTGATTTCTTTAATTTGCTTCACTAACATGCTGTTTTAAGTCATTCGTGTCCTAGGTTAAACTGTTTCACAAACATTTTGTGCTTTCTAATACTGTTTTCTAATACTGTTTGTGTGTGCGTGTGTACTGGTGTGGGTCTGAATGCATGTGTGTGCATGTGTAGAAGACAGGTCTGTATCAGGTGTCTTCCTCAATCACTTGTCCACTTTAGTCTTTGATTAGCTACTGTTTAGTTGAATTTTTGTGCACTTTGTATATCTTTTGATCAAATTTAGATGCCCTCCCCCATCTGCATCTTTCACTAACCCCACCCAATTTCATATACATTATTAGATAGCTATAAAGATATGCATTAATGCCTATAGATTTACAATGTGTTACCAAATGCCCTTTGGTAGAGGTCTATCCACTGAAGCCTGGTCAACCTACGAAGAACTTTAGCCTTAAATCAGACGGACTCTCCCCCTCCCAGTAGCCACCAGTTGCCAGTAGTTTCTCAGGTAGGGTTGGAGTTTCTTACACAGTTCCTCACATCCATGTTGGGATTTTGTCTGGTTTGAGTTTATACAGGGCTTGTGCATGCTGTCACCATTGCCCAGTTGTCTGGAAAACTATTTGCTTGTGGTCATCCACCTCCTCTGGCTCTTAACAGTCTTTTTTTTTTTTTTTTTTTTTTCTCGGAGCTGAGGACCAAACCCTGTGGTAGCAAGTGCTCTACCACTGAGCGATATCCCCAACCTCTTACCATCTTTTCACACCCTCTTCCACAATGTTCCCCCGAGCCTTGGGAGGCAGAAGTTTGATATAGGTGTCCCATTCAGGGATAAGCAGTCTGCAGCCTCTTATTCTCTGCATGTTGGCCAGTTGTGGTTTTCTGTGTTAATCACCATCTGCTGCATAAGGAAGCTTCTCTGGTCAGCGTTGAGAGGTGTATTAATCTATGGGAATATCAATGTCATTAGGAGTCAGCTTATTACTATATTCTAGCCAAATAGTATTAGGCTCTCCCCTAAGGCCTGAGACCTGTCTCACCACAGGTCCTAGGCCTAATACCAGTGTCAGATATGGGTTCCAGCTTACAAAGAAAACCTTAAATCCAATTAGAAAGTGGTTGGTTACTCCCATAATATTGGTACCACTATTGTATCAGTACACATATCTTGCTAGGCCAGTTGTAGCTTGCAGGATTCACCAAGGATCAAACGGAGTTACATGAACCTGCATGTCTGTCCAGAAAGAAATACTGGTGATGGAGATAGAAACGTCCTTTTGAGATGTCAGAGCAAAGTCCATGGTTGGAGCGTTGAGGATGGTTTCTGAGAAATTGATAGATGATTGCTCATTCAAAGAAATGTGGCTTGGAGGTCTTTGGACCCTGTCCAAAAATAAGGTGGAGAGTATTACCATCGACCTCTGCCCTCCATACCCATGAGCACATAGGTGGACAAATGTGCACCTATACACAAACAAGATTTTTTTTTTCCATACTGAGGATTGAATCTAGCTAGAGTCTCTCATACGATTGGCTGGCCTTGACCTCACAGAGAGAAGTCTGCCTGCCTCTGCCTCTTGAGTACAGGGATTAATGTCACAGACCACAACACCCAGCCTCTTTGTACTTTTTTATTTATTTAGCGTGCACACCATGGCACATATTGGTCAGCAGACACCTTGGGGGATTCAGTTCTCTGCAAAATGTGGGGCCCAGGATCAGATTCAGGGATCAAACTGACAACAAGCACCTTCACCTGCTGAGCCACCTTCCCAGTCTTTCTTAAGATTTAATTGTGTGTATGTGTGTGTGTGTGCATGCGTGTGCACGCGCACGCATGTGAATGCAGTTGCCCTCAGTTGGAGTTATAGATGGTTGAAAGACACCAATGTGTGTGCTGGAAACCCAATTCAACTAAATTTGGGGACTCTAGAAGAGTAGTATGTGCTCCTAACCATTCAGCCATCTCTCCAGCCCCAGTCCTCGTTTTTTTTTTTTTTTTTTTTTTGTTAAGAGAAATCAAGTTGCCTCTGCCTTGAAATTGCCATCTTCCTGCTTCAGCTTCCCCAGTAGCTGGGAGTGCAGGTTTGGCACCAGATCCAGCTATAATGTGGATTTTTAAATTTTTTAGTCTTTTTGAGACAGGCTCTCCCCTATAGCCTCAGCTGGCCTGGAACTCCCTACGTAGAGCAGGCTGACCTTGAACTCACAGAGGTCTGCCTGACTCTCCCGAGTGCTGGGATTAAAGGCGTGCGCCACCACGCCCAGTCTATAATGTGGATTTTTATCAGGAGAGAATTTAGTAGGTGGGAATGGAAAATGAAATAGAAAAGATTGGTTTACAGATGCACAGATGCAGGATGTGTATAGGGAAGTGTCATGTTTATGTATGTGTGGGGAATGGAATGCAATATCTACACCCTGTCACAGCTGATCCCAGAGAAGTTACATCTGAGGGGAATAAACTAGGAATGGTAGTGCATACCTGTAATCCCAACACTCAGGAGGAAGAGGTGGAACACTTTGAGTTCCAGGCCTGTGGAGCAGCATAGGGAGACCACAACTTCTTAAAAATATGTATTTAGTCGGGCGTGGTGGCGCACGCCTTTAATCCCAGCACTCGGGAGGCAGAGGCAGGCGGACCTCTGTGAGTTCAAGGCCAGCCTGGTCTACATAGTTCCAGGACAGCTGGGGCTACAGGGAAACCCTGTCTCAAAAAGACGAAAAAAAAATACATATATATATGTATATTTTATGTGCATACACATGTGTGTAAGTGCACCCGTGTCATGCACCCGGGAGGTCAGAAGAGGGGGACGAATCCCTTGGAACCAGAGTTGTGAATGGTTGTTAGCCACCATGTGAGCACTGGGATTCGAACCCGGATCCTCTGCAAGAGCAGTCAGTGCTCTTAGTCGCTGAGCCATCGGTCCAGCCCTGAGACAACTTTTTTATTGTATGTGTATGCCTGTATTGTCTGCATGTAGGTAAGTGCACCCATGTCGTGCAATGCCAGCGGAGGACAGACTCGGATCCCCGGAAACTGGAATTACGGACAGTTGTTAGCTGCCATGTGGGTGCTGGGATTCGAACCCTGGTCCTCTGCAAGAACAACCAGTGTTCTTAACCGCTGAGCCATCTCTCCAGCCCCCGAGACCACAGCTCTTAAGAATAAAGGAAAGCATAAATGAGAGTGGAAAGAGCCCTGGACCCAGGAACGGGAAGGATTTAGGATGTTAATTCCCAGGTCCTGAGGGAACCTGCAAGGGCGAGAACAATCAAGGCCTGCCCTCTAGAGCAGTGCAAGTGCGCCTGCGCGAGGGCTGGATGACATCACGTCCACCTCGCCTTGCTCTGATTGGTCGCAGGACTTTCGGCGGCTTGGATTGGCCGGGCCGTCTACGACCCCAAGGTGCTTTGCGGCGCCGAGTCCTTTCCTTTCGGCCGGTCTCCTGCGCAGGAGGTGAGTACGCTTCTGGCCACAGCCATCGCGGCCCATCCGCCTCCATCGCGCGCTCTTCGCCGTCGTCGGCGCGGCGCGGCCGTTCTCGGGGCCATGGAGGAGCCTGGGTGCAGAGGGCGTGGGGCCGGGGTCGGGCGGCAGGGCTCGGCGCGGCTTCCCGGGGCCTTCACCTGCCGCCCTCCTTTCCCTCGCGGCCTTAGGCAACCATGGCGCCCAGCCGGAATGGCATGATCCTGAAGCCCCACTTCCACAAGGACTGGCAGCAGCGAGTGGACACTTGGTTCAACCAGCCGGCGCGGAAGATCCGCAGGTGTGGACCCCGCGGCCTGGCGTGTCCTCGGGGCGGGGCACTTGCCGGACGCGCGGGGCGGAGGTGACAGTCTTGTCTGTTCTCCAGACGCAAGGCCCGTTTGGCGAAAGCGCGCCGTATCGCCCCTCGTCCCGCGTCCGGGCCCATCCGGCCCATAGTGAGGTGCCCCACGGTGAGATACCACACCAAGGTCCGAGCTGGTCGGGGCTTCAGCCTGGAAGAGCTCAGGGTGAGTCCGGCGGGGTGCGGGGTCTTGGCGCTGATATGTCGGTGGAATGATGACATTCTCCGGAATCGCTGTACTGTCTTGATGAAAGTACTTTTGAACCCTTTTCCATCTGACACCACCGAGCTTTCCCCGCAGGGCGGGCAGCGGGAGGGGCTGAGAGGTATTTCATCTGTTTCTGCTTCTGGACAGGTGGCCGGCATCCATAAGAAAGTGGCACGGACCATCGGCATCTCTGTGGACCCAAGAAGGCGGAACAAGTCCACGGAATCCCTGCAGGCTAACGTGCAGCGGCTGAAGGAGTACCGCTCTAAGCTTATCCTCTTCCCCAGGAAGCCTTCTGCCCCCAAGAAGGGAGACAGCTCTGTGAGTGCAGTGGGTGCCTTGGGGGCATCTGAGGTTTGGTTCAGTGTAAATTGCCGACAGTCTGGATCCACCCTGGGGAGACACTGATGTCCTATAGCCTTTTTAATCTTCAAAACATTGCCTTAGTAGGGAATTGACATGTAATGAAAAAATCAAAAACGATGATAACCTCCATGATATCCATGTGTTCCCAGCTTTCTGGCTCTGCTGGCAGCAATTAGACTGGGAGATAGGCATTTGCAGTTCAGAGTGTTCCCCCTGCAGGGTTGTCCAGGGAACATTTCTGGGTATAAGGCATATAGTATAGCTGGGCATGGTGGCTCTTGCCTTTAATTCCACCTCTCAGGAGGCAGAGGCAGGGCCAGCTTGGTCTATTTAGTGAGTGCCAGGCCAGCTGAGGCTGTAGGGAGACCCTGTCTCAAAAAGACTCCAAAAAAAAATCTTCACAGTATTCGGAAATGTTACTGGACCACCATGGGGAGGGCAGGGTTGTCACGGTGTCCAATTTGTATGAGCTTCCTGGAAATTGGGGTGGATTTGGTCTGTCTGAAAGGTGGAACAGGACCCTCCTTACCTACCCCTAGAGTACATTGGGTCCCATGAGATGTGCAACCCTGTAGTGTCAGGCAGGAGCAAGGCAACCCCATGACAGAAGGGGTCTGTGGGTGTTAGGCATAAAGTCTTAGAGAAAGAAACTGCTCATTATAGCCTTTTGTTCTCAAACAGGCTGAAGAACTCAAATTGGCCACTCAGCTCACAGGACCAGTGATGCCCATCCGGAATGTAAGTGCATACTTGGTTTATGCAAGTCCAGTTAAAGAATGCTATAGACGAGACTTGACAGGTGAAGGCGTGTGCTGTGGCAGATGGGGTAGTTGCTAAGATTCACAGGCATTTGAAGCTACCTTTAGCTCTAGGAAGAACCACCCCAAATTCTTAACAGATGGACACTTTAAAGGATGGTCTTATCCTCCTTTTTAGAAGTTCGAGTGATCCTAGCTTGTCATTGCCCACCTGGTTGGAATGCTGGTGACACACACCCAATACATTCTTAGGCAGACTGGGTGTTTCTTTTTTTTTTTCTAATTTTCCTGGGGTTACCTTGTTCTTAATTTCTGGGGTAGGGTCTTCATAATGTACTCCATAAAGGGGTATTTTTACTGGGAAGGGTAATCATAAAATGTGGTGGGATCAGGCTTCCTATGTACCCTAAGGCTGGTCTAGAACTTCCTCTCTTTTGAACATCACCATCCTCCCCTCAACCTCCCAAGTATACTGATAACTTCCTCAGACTTGAGTGTGGTTCTTTTGTGCCAGAAAGCCTCAGTTTGGCTCCTGAGAGTTGGTGGCTGTGTTGAAGCTCGGTGGCCAGGTTGTGGGCCCCCACCTTGACTGCCTGCGGGTGTAAGTTGACCCCTGTCCTCTTCCCCACTTACCAGGTCTATAAAAAGGAGAAAGCCAGAGTGATCACAGAAGAAGAAAAGAACTTCAAGGCTTTTGCCAGCCTCCGAATGGCCCGTGCCAACGCCCGGCTCTTCGGCATTCGAGCGAAAAGGGCCAAGGAAGCTGCGGAACAAGATGTTGAAAAGAAAAAGTAATGCTCTGTTGGGGCATTGTAATAAATTTTCAGTAAAGCGAACTCTACTTCCATGCACATGCTTACTGTCAGCAGGGCCTGTTTGTGGTTCAACATTACCAGGTAGTTATACCCCTGGGCTACCTAAAGAGCCACTAACATCCTTTGTTTGGATAGAAATGGTCACAGGTTTAAGCCCAGAATTTACTCTTGATAGAGGACACTGGTGTTAGCCTGTCGCCTCCAAGACAGGACTCATTAAGCAGTGGTCCCTGAAGTATGGTTCTGTGGTTCATTTGCACGAAGCAGAAACTGCCAGTTCCTGGAAACAACACCTTGTGAATACCCCTGAAGGACTGACAAGTTTGTCTCTTCTGAGTGGGAAACTCAAGTGTGAGGTCCCTGCATTTTGTGCGTCCTTGTGGGAGACTGGTTGTGTATCTCAGTGGGTACTTCTCCAGTGTTCGCAAAGCCAGTGACTGGGCATTCCCAGCAGTGCATCAGGTGGCCACAATGGGGTAGGAGTCTACAGAGGTGGAAGTCACTTTAACTTGATCATCTCTTGGAATTAGTTGTTGCTTGACGGGTTTTTTTTTTTTTTTTTTTTTTCCTTTTGGTCTTTTTGAGACAGGGTCTCTGTAGCCCCAGCTGTCCTGGAACTCACTATGTGGACCAGGCTGGCCTTGAACTCACAGAGATCCACCTGCCTCTGCCTCCCAAATGCTGGGATTAAAGGTGCGTGCCACCATGCCCGGCTAGCTTGACCATTTTTACAGATCAGCTGTAATATAAATTGTAAGTCATTTTCAGTTTATTACTCCTAGTGTTTTTCCTAGACAGGAATTTTCTTGGAGTATTTTCGTTTCTTTTTAGTTTTTTTTAAGTTTTAGTTTTTTAGTTAAACTAACTCTTTAGTTAAAAATGTGTTGCATATATGTATAAGTGCACTGTGTCATGCAGTGCCCATGGAGGTCAGAAGAGGGTGTCAGGTCCCCAGGAACTGGAGTTAACAGACTAAGTCACCTTATGGTGCTGGGAATCAAACCCTAGTTCTTCTGAATAGTCAGTGCAAGAATAGTCAGTGCTCTTAACCACTGAGCCAACTCTCCACAGACCCTTGTTTTTGTTTTTTGTGTGTATGAGTGGCTGCTGTATGTGTGTAAGTGCACTTGTGTCAGGCAGTGCCTTCAGAGGCCAGAAGAGGGTGCTGAATCTTGTGGAACTGGACATAGAGATGGTTGTGAGCTGCCATGTGGGTGCTGGAAACTGAACCCCAGTCCTCTGCAAGAGCAGCCAGTGTTCTTAACCACAGAGCCATTTCTACAGTCCCTTGTTTGGTGTTTTTGAGATAGTCTTCTTGTAGGCCCAGCTGGCCTAAAGCTCACTATGTAGACCAGGCTGCCTCTGCCTCAGGAGTGCTAAGATGATTAAAGGCATGCATCACCATGCCTGGGTATGTTTGTTTTTGAGACAAGATCTCCCTGTAGCATTAGCTTGGAGCTAATGTAGACCAGACTGACCTCTGCCTCCCAAATGTTAGGATCAGAGGCATATGCCACCACACTCAGAGCCTGACTATATTTGTGTGGGTATGAGTTTGCATTTATTTTGTTTTCTCTTTTGAAGACAGGGTCTCCCAGTAGCCCACCTCTGGCTTCCACTGCTGGGATTGATGGCGTGTGCCACCACACCCAGCAAGTTTGCATTTATGCCTGTGAACCACATGTGCCTGGGGAGTGCAGGAGAGGACATTGAATCCCTTGAGCAGGAGTTAATACAACCAAACATGGGATGCTCCTAACTGCTGATCCATCTCTCCAGCCCTCTTGTTTAGATACAGGGTTTTATCCTGTATCTCAGGCTTGCCTGGAGCTCTTGGTATTCCTACCTCAGTTTACTGAGTGCTGGGATTATAGTTGTATACTACCAGGTTTGGCTTCTGTGCAGTACTTTCAAATTTGGAGGCTAGAGAAATGACTCCCAGAACCCACATTTCAAAAGCTGGGGGTTTGGCAAAGGAGGGCGCAGGCTTCTAACTGATAAAATCTGAGTTTGACCTCCAGGACATGGTGGAGGGAGAGAACTGCAAGTTGTCCTGTGACCTCCATGCTTGTCCACATACCATACATTTGACCTCCAGGACATGGTGGAGGGAGAGAACTGCAAGTTGTCCTGTGACCCATGCTTGTCCACATACCATACAAATGTATAATAATGTGTGTGTATAGATAAGTATATCCTGAAAGGAAAAGTTGATAATCTCAGTTCCTCAGAACTGATGGTGTAGATTAGAGGAAAGGGGTTAGTCACTTTAGGTTTAATTTCTTTCTGTTGCACAAAGTTAATTATGTAGAAGGTTGAAGTTTTTTGTATATGTCTCCATGTGGATCATTTTTAAAAATTTCTGTGTATAAGTGTATTGCCTGCATGTATGTAAGCACACCTGTGTCCTGCAGTGCTGGCAGAGGTTAAAGGAGGGTATTGGAGCCTCTGGAGCTAGAGTTGAGGACAGTTGTTAGCTGCCACATGGGTGCTGGGAATCGAGCCCAGGTCCCATGCAAGAGCAATCTCCAGCCCCAAGTGGCTCTCCTTTTAAAAACGCTTTTTTAAAAAAATTTAAAATGACATTTCTGGCACAGCAGAGGGAGCTGGGTTGCTTTTGAGGGGTGGTGTCACTTCCCCAAGACCCAGAGATTAAAGGGTTAAGCTCCCTTAGTGTGGGAAGCGAGCACAGCCAAGCCAGCCAAAGATGGAGCCCTGGCTGGCTGCTGTTTACTTCAACTCTTGGCTGATTGCCAAGGCTCGTGAATCCCGCTTGTTTACCCCAACTCTGAAGTATGGTGAGCCCAAAAACAGGTGCTGCCAGCCTGATGATCTTGCTACGTGGCCAATGAGCTGCCACTCTGCCTGCCCGCTGCACGTGTGTGTGCCCTGATTGGTCCTGGCTAGAGGGAGGGCTGTTGGAAACACTATATGAACAGCTGAGGTGTGTAATAGAGAAGAACAACAACAGCAACCACGAGACAGCATCATAGTGAGAATGAGATAAGTGAGAATGAAGTGAGAGATGTAGGAGAACGACGAAGCAGCATCATAGTGGGTGAGATAGTGAAGAGAATATGAGAGAGAATAAGAATAAAGGAAGAAAAAGAAACAGAAGCTTGAACCTCACCTTGGTGTCTGTGTCGTCTTTCCTGGACTCTGCTGGACAGAGTCCCGGCTCGCGACACCTTAGGACAGGGCCTAGGTGTCCCAGCAGGGCTCAGGGGACCTAGAAGGTGTTTTCAGCAGCTCCCACTGGTACCTTGGCAGTGGTTTGAACCTTAGGATTGGAGAAGATGCCAGCAAGTTCTTGTTAGGCCTTCTGAAAGCCAGCACCCGTGCAGCAGTACAAGGAGTGGGTCTGCTTGAGCACCATGTACAGAGAAGAGCAGGACAACCTGCAGAAGGAGCACACAAGCTAAAGGCCTGGAGGACAAAGGAATGGCTCCAATTTTTTATATAATATTTCTATTGTTTTTTGGTCTTTTGAGACAGGGTCTCCCTGTAGCCCCAGCTGGCCTGGAACTCTTAGATCCACCTGCCTCTGCCTCCCAAGCCCTGAGATTAAAGGCATGTGCCGCCATGCCCAGCTTTTATATAATTTTGTTGTTTGAGAGTTTTATACACAGGTACGATGTATTTTTAGCATTGTCACCCCCAACTACTTGTCTAATTGTTTTTAGTCCCTAGAAGTTCAAGTAGGGGCTTATGCTGTCTGTAGGGCACACAAAGGGCTATAGAAGACCAGTACGAAAATGATGGAGACCTCTTAGTGCCTGGAGGTGGGAAGGGCCCAGTGCCTGGATGCTCAGGGTCACGTGTGGCCAAGGATGGTGGGAAGATCTACAAGTAACCTTTCCTGTCCTCAGGATAAGCCCAACACAGTCAAAGCCACTGCCGTGCACAACTCGGGAGGGGGTTTCGGGAATGTAGCCACTCAGAAGACTGAAAGTGCTTCCTCCATTCTCTATCTGCTCCATTAGCCCACCAGGGGAGGAATGTGGAACCATGGTTCATGGTTGGTAACCAAGGCTCCCAGGAGGGAAAAACTTACTTTTTTTCCCAGGGTTTCCCTGTAGCTCCACCTGGCCTAGGAGACCAGGCTGGCCTCAGTCTCCCTGAAATCTGCCTGCTTCTGCTTCCCAAATGCTGGGACTAAAGGTGTGTGCCACCATGCTCAGCCAACTTCTAAAAATTTTTTACGCGTAATCGTGTATTGCCTGCACCTGTGTCATGCAGCCCTTGGAGAACAGAAGAGGCCATAGGATCCCCTGGAAATAGAGTTATGGTCAGTTGTTAGCTGCCATATTGGTGTTAGGATTTGAACCCCCATCTTCTGCAAGAATAGCCAGTGCTCTCAACCACTCTCCAACCCCCATTTTTCTTTTTTAAAAAAATATTTTAATTTTTGGTGTTTTTGAGACAGGGTCTCCCTGACCTGGAACTAGCTATGTAGACCAGGCTGGCCTCAAACTCAGAGAGATCCGCCTGCCTCTGCCTCCCAAGTGCTGGGATTAAAGGTGTGTGCTACCGTGCCCAGCTAATATTTTTACGTGTATGAGTGTATTGCTGCATGTATGTGAATGCACTCGTGTTATGCAGTGCCATGGAGATCAGAAGAGGGCTTCTGATTCCCCTGGAACTGGAGTTAAGGATGGTCCCTAGCTGCCATGTGGCAGTCAGTGCTCTTAACCCTGAGCCATCTCTCCAGCCCCCCATTTTTCTTTTTAAAGATGGGATAGGAGAGCTGGGCGTCCTTTAGTCCCAGCCCTCGGGAGGCAGAGGCAGGATGATCTCTGGTCTACAGCTAGGGCTACAGGAAGACCCTGTAGAAGACCCTGTCTCAAAAAGACAAGAAAATGGGATCGGTAGAGCTGTTACCTAACATTTGCAAGATCATGGAAAGGAAATACACATCTCTAGCTAGCATAGAGTGGTGGTGTATGCCTTTATCCCCAATCCCAGCTGAGGCAGAGGCAGGCAGATCTCTAAGGTTGAGGCCAGCCTGATCTGGCTAGTTCCAGGCCAGCTGGGGC